TGAACTACATTGTATTTTGAAAAGTAGGTCAAAGGTCAAGGTCAAGAGGTCGGTAACCATGGTAATTTACAAAAGCCATAGTGCCTAGCAATATATGTGCAAAATATAAAATCCATACCTCTTACAGATCTTGAGATATAGGGTGTGACAGAAGGACAGACAGATGCCAGGTAAAGTGATCTCTTAGTGCCGCTCTGCTCTGCAGGCGATACAAAAATTTAGTATTTCATTTCAATGTCTTTGACAATAAATCAAGATTCTATATCAAATCAAATGTGCTTTGAAATTGATACTTGAAGTTCATCAATTTCATTGACTAAAAATTTACAAAACAATATTCTAGGGCATATTTACTACCGATATTCGGACTTATTTTTCAAGAGAAAATTTCCCCTAATATCCCATTTTCCCCTTTTGATGAGTACAAAATTCCCCTTACAATAATGAAAAGCACAAATAATTTTTTTTCCTTCAAAAAATTTTCATCAGATGTGAAATATGGTATACTTTGCTATTTTATGCACTCTAAATGTCATTAAAATGCTGAAATTGGGCCCCCCACATGGCCGTAGGAACCGGGGGGGGGGCATGGGGGGGCTGTGCCCCCCCAATAATTTTGCCGATATATAGAACACTATAGAAAACATAGCTGCTATATGCTTGTGCCCCCTCAATAATAACGTCTGATGACCTTTTTTTTTTTTTTTTTTTTTTGCTTGTCAGGGAATTTTGGTAGTTAATAGTGCCCCTTCAACTGAAAATGTATGGTTGTGCCCCCTCAAAGTGAAATTGCTTCCTACGGGCCTGCCCCAGCAGGGCTTGCCAGTGAATGTGGCCCACAGACCCCAGCTGATTTTCCCAATTTCTCCAAAAAGGGTAATTTCCAATTTGTTTCAAAATTTCAATCCAAGCTTTGTTATTGGCTGTTAGTGCAGATGGCCACTAACAAAATAATATTAACTGTTGTTACGATTAACTGTTAACGATACTTTTTGATGCTTTACATACTGAACTTTTCTATGTACAGTACCATCTTCCGAGGATGCTCAAGAGTGAAAATGTTTTCCCTCTTATCTATGACTTATTAGATGTAAAGAGCGTTTACAATATCAATATCATCTCTTCACTTTGTACAAGCAGCCATTTTCAATTTTTTGGTAGGTCGTTCATGTATCGTTTCGTACCGATATTTCAATGCATGTATCATAAACCATATCTAAGCCAGAAAATATCAGTATGTATTGGTTTATCGATATATCATCCCACCTCTACATTTTAAAAAATTAATATTTATATATAAGATTATAACACTAATGTACTAGAGACATAATTTTGTGTCTTTGACTGAATTTAAACCCATCCCTGGCATGCCAGTCCATTGTTCTATCAATTGAGGTACAAGTTTAACCCACAAGCCTAAGCCAGTATTAAAGAAGCTGTGTATCATACACTACCATACCAGGGTTCGACACTAACTTTTTCAGGCTTTAGTCCAGCCGGACAAGTGCTTCATTACATTTAGTAGTCCGCACGCGATTTTATTAGTCCCTCAAAAAAAAGAAACATCAATGTTTTTAACAATAATTTAACGTGACAATTAATATACGTATTATTTTTTGAAATAAACAAAGTATTTACGTGAAATATATTATACCACAAATTCATTGAAATCTCGCAATCAGCAATTACGATTTTACGATCTCGTTTTTTTTTTTTTTTTTTTTTTTTTTGTCTTTACATTACATGCAGAACGTCCAACATCTTACTTAAAAGTGTCATACTAAATCATGATTGCTAACACTTTATACTTCATATCGATCAGTCGGAAAAATTAAGCTCTGAATTGACCTGGCTTTTGCGTAACTACCCGCCAAAGCTAGAAATCTAAAAAATACACGCGGGGTTTTCCAGTAAAAGTTGTCGAGAATCGGACATCGGTAATTTATTCATATTGTTTTTCAGTTTTTATTGGTCCGTTCGGACTAATTAGCCACATATTTTATTAGTCCGAATGAAAATGTATTAGTCTGAGACTAACGGACTAACGTTAGTGTCGAACCCTGCATACTAACACAAGTATAAAAAAAAAAAATAACTGTTTTGAATCCTTAGTTATTTAATAATGTTCGGTAAGTGATTTATCATCATGCTCACTTTAAGCTTTTTTTATTACTTGTTCTGAAGGGGAAACACCTTCTTTAGCAGGGTTGTCCCTAAGAATTGAAATAGCAGGGGACATTTAAAAAGTAGAAGGGTTTTTCGGGTTCCTCCCTAACGGAGGGGTTGAGGGGGAATACCAGAATAAGCGGGGGATTACATCATTATAGGTGGGGAAATTCCCCGGCCCCCGGGTTTTAGGGACAACCCTGTTTAGATGCAAATTTATAACTACAGTGAAGCACGCTTACAATGATGGAAGTGCAAGAGACAGATGAGTATGCTTTGTTATAATTTATTTTACATATATGTATTAAGTTTACAATATATTTTAAAGTCACTGGGATTGTAAGCGTCAATTCATTAAACATGTTTGTGCTTTACTGTAGTGCTTTTCGTAGGCGCTCGTTTTATAAAGTACATGCAAAGAGGTACAGCATCCTTTCCAACTATTGAACATTTTCAGAATCTCAGACACCCGACAACATGCAGACTTTGAACTGCAGACTTTACACTTAAGGGAACATGTCAAAAGAGTAATTTGAATGATACATTCGAGTATATTTTATTGAATTTGATAATCAAATTTTGTTCTTATTTGTACAAGTTATACATCTATACATAAACACATGGTGTGGGTGGAAGGGGGCAAGGAGGCTGCCCCCACCTTTTTCTGAGAATACTTTTTTGCTGTTTCCCAATAACTTTTTTCCTTTTATAAATCAATAACAACAAACTCCCAACAACAAATAGAAAACAAGGATCTTCACAGGGGCTGACAAATCCCATTGCCCGATGCCCGGGGCTAGTGAATTTTAGGGTTGGGCTAGTGAAATTTTATCAACCACTTGCCTGTGGGCAAGTGACTTAAAAAAAAATTAAATCCACGTATAAGTCAAATAAACAACTGAATAAAGCTAGGCACAGGGGCTTGCATTATATTCTTATTAGGGATGTCAACGAATAGTCGACTATTCGACTATCAGTCGATTGGACCGACGATCGAATAATGAAACGACATTCGAATATTATTATTATAAAATAAATATAAAAAAAGTGGGATAACGAGATGGAATTCTCATCTCAAAACCGAGAAACCCTCAGTCTTCATAGACAGTCGATAATTTTCCTCCACAAAATATTGATTTTCCATGTACATATATAGAAAGTACACTAATTGTTAGTGCTTCACAATCATGAGAATTATTTGTCCGTATTGTTTTTGTAGTAAATTACCGATCAAATTACTCTGTTTTCTTTGTAAAAATATTAATTGACGTTGATCCTAAACCGTGTATCAATTATATTTAGTTATTTCAAGATTGCTCAAATGCAAGGAACAGACCATAGCCGTGCCTTGTTTTGACACTTCGATAATTATTAAAACAATTCGCTTACATTTTACGAATAGTAGTAACAATCAATAATTGAAAAAGCAGTATATAACTGTTTAACAATATCACAAGCACCTGATGTTTCATGATTCATTACGTGGTGAGCTTTAAAAAATATCGGCTGGCAATTTTTAAATGCTTTTTAATGCTTACTAAAATAAAAATTTACTGTGCAGACCGATTTATGAATTCGATCGACGGGGAAATTTGTTTATATAATTATGCTTTCCACACGTCACGTTGCATTAATTTTGATGTTACATTTTAAATACATTTAAATGAAAGGGTTTTTGAGTAACAAATACGTCATATACCATTGCGAATATTCGACTATCGTTCGAATAATGCAATCGAATAATCGACTATGAAAAATAAATATTTTGACATCCCTAATTCTTATAGTATAATTACATATATAATATACAGTGGTGCCTCGTTTATCCGGATGCCTCCGTTCCCAACGAAAACTTCCAGATAAATGAATCGTCCGGATAAGTGAATCGCTTCTAAAAAAAAAAAAAAAACCTTCTCCAAGCATGTGTATATGTACATGCTGAGTAGATCAAAATTTTCTCAGCTCATGAATTCACGCCAAAAGAGAAGGCGAATAAATTGCCTGCGTTAAAAAAGGTCTCAGCATAAAATTGCCTAGTATCAATTTTTTTATTGCATAAATTACATTTTAATATATTTTTTTTTTACTTAATTACTTCTTTTAAAGCTAAAAAATAAAAAGTTTAAACCAAAATATCAGTTTTTTTCCCTTTGCCTTTACATTTGATACCTGTATATTCCCGTATATTCTTTACACAGGGCTACTATAGTAACTGAACACTTCAAGCTATCTCAAACACGCGCAATCAGTGAAAGTATTGTAAACATTCAACATAAACACAAGCAATCTTAATGATTATCAATTATTTTTTTCTAAAGACTCTAAGTTTGAATTTAGATCACAAAAAATACCTTGAAAAAACGTAATCAACTTCTATATGTAACGCCAGCTTTATATTTCTTTTCTAAAGTAACGTACGTTTATAGACGGTAGTACATTAAATAGAAAGATATTTCTTTTCTGCCTAATCTAGAAAAAAGCGTTTCAAATACATTTACGTTTTTAGAAATAGAAAATTATATTTTAAACTAACAGTCAACATGATCAAGACCATTACGAAATCGCTTGTAATTTATTGTTCTTTTTATTTACAACTCTCCAAAATTCTCATGAATTTACCGATGTATATACGGTTAGCAATATGATTTTGAACGGATTATAATTTAAGTAATGCACAGTGTAAGCGAAATTCTTCGAGTTTCATAATAGACGTGTGATTTAATTGGGGTAAACACATAGATTAATTATAGACGCTTTTGTCTGTAGGTCACAGGTAACCGCCTTTAAACTGACTACATGGCCAATGTTTTTACAACAATTAACACTACTGCAAGATGGGTGAGAAAAAGCCGTTTCTTGAAAAATTACCGTCCCGATAAACGAGTCATTTTTTCAAAGAATTATTACGTTTTGTATTAGAAATCGACCGTCCGGATACGGAACGCGAATTTCCGGATTAATGAGACAGAATAACGTGGAAAAAATCGGTTCCCCAAAAATATCGTCCGGAAGGTGAAGCGTCCGGATAAATGGCGTCCGGATAAACGCGGCGCCACTGTATATGCAATATATATATTTATCTTCCTATTTTTTGAAATATATATATATATATATATATATATATATATATATATATATATATATATATATATATATATATATATATATATATATATATATATATATATATATATATAGTATTAATTTATGGTCACGATGGTGGGGCAAGCAAAAATTCAGGTAGGGCAAGTGAATATTGACCATGCACTTGCCCTTAGACAAGTGCTTAAAAAATCTATTTGTCAGCCCCTGCTTCAAGTGCTAAGAAAATTTTATAAACTTGTATCTTTATATAGATACATGTATGTTATGGAGGGCACAATCTGTAAATAAAAAGTGAATATTAAATTTTTCTTTCTTTTATATACAGGTATGTATCAGTCAAAAACAAGATATTCAAAAACAGCTTATGGAGTCAAAAGAGTAAGGGCGAAACGATTACACGTGTAAACCGCGACGTTTCGATTAAATGCTCTAAATGTTTACAAATTGAGTAAACGTTTACACAAAGGTCATTATCAATGTATATCAGAAGTAAAGATAAATACAAACAAGTTGTTTTATTTCATATTTACCAATGAAATTATTGTTTTCTGTTTTAATCGATACCAGAAACATTATTAAACAGAACTACCTAAAACCCAATACCGTCTAACATATTTAATTCCGATTTCTGAGTAGCGAATACTAACAATGTATTATGATTTTATTTATCCAAGTATAAAACTTGATTTACTTTGATTAAATAAATATACACTGTAATACGTTTTCCCCCGTCTTTGAAAAGTGTTTCAATACAGTCAGCAGATCGCGGTTTACTTACTTCAGGATTAAAAGATCCAATTTGACAATGCTTCTTCTACGTCCAGTATGTAGCCAAATAAACTACACGTATTAAAGCAATATTGTGTGACGGTGTAAAAAGTGAATGAGTTTTATGTGCTTCTATCCTTTCGTCATAAAAACCAACAAATAAATAGTTATAACAATTCATACTTACATTATAATGAAAGAATAGAGTATTAAATTAGTGTTTCATGAGTAATTCAACACAAAACGTTTAAATGGTAACATTTCGTTTACTGCTGTTCGTTTTAACGTTTACAAAATTCAATAAACATTTCACCCTTACAAAAGCGTTACATTTATCAATAACATACAGTGCATATTAGAATACAAAAATATGAAAAAGATGTCAGACCCAGATTTATCAAGAAAAAAAATGGAAAAGAGGGGAGGGGGTCCATGCCCCAACTGCCTGTGGCTTCAACAAGCTCTACCACTTAGCTTGCTACACTTTGCAACTGGTAGAGCTATATAGTAAATTAAAGACAGATTTATCAATCTAATAATTTTTAACACCTGAATACTAGTACTGGTTTACTGGTTAACTTATTATATATCTTTTCATGGAATATATCATATCACTTGCACCACCTTTTATTGAATCTGGATAATAATTAGATTTTATAGGTTGTATCCTAGCTGGGCAGAATCTCAAGTAATATGTGATTAATATCTTAAAAGTTTCATTTGGGTATTCTTTCATTCATAATATGATTATTAGAAAGCAAAAATTCTATAATAGGAAATGTACGTCATCTCTTGAAATAAAACTCCCAAAGGCTTATTTTTTTTTAGCTTAAGACCGTTCACAGTAGCTCAGTCGGTAGAGCGCTCGCTCCGTGATCGGGAGGTCGTGAGTTCGAATCTCGGCCACAACTGACCTAAGCCGATAAAAAATTAGTAGCAACTGTTCCTTTGCCATGCGCTCGGCACTTTAAAGTGAAAGTTGCGGGTCCTTTGGATGAGACCTTAAAAACCGAGGCCCTGTGTCACGGTAGGCATTGGAATGATAAAGATCCCTCACTGCTCAATGGCCCTGAGAGCCGAGTGAAGGTCCAAATTTGAAGCCCTTCACCGGTATATGGTGACGTCTCTATATGAGTGAAAAATTCTCGAATGGGAATTAAAACGGCATACAATCAATCAATCAATCAATCTCTTAGCTTCATGAGAATTGCATGATTATCCTGTTTGTTATTTTTTATACTCAGGTATTTTAAAAAGTATGGCCCTTTTATCTTCGCAGCTAGGTTAAGGACGCCCATGAAATATACGCCTTAATATATTCAGGGAAAATGAATGCAATTTTAATATTTTTTTAAACAGTATTAGTTTTGATAAATGTGATTTGTGGTGTTTGCACTTGTATATATCGGGTCTCTGCTGAGTTCGGCCAAAGCGACATCGCTTACATCAGCTGTTTGTCACGTGACAGTTTTAAAGTTAGAACATATAGGTACTACTACAAAGATCGTAAAAGTTCAACGATATACGGGCATTTTTCCGCTATAAAATTTATTCTGTTTTCTTTGAGACAAATTCCTTAACACGAAAAGTGCTGGGAGCAACTCCCTCATGCTCGGGAATTGTTTAAAATTTAGCCGTCTTTCTATAAACTCCAGTCAAAAATGTAATTCGCATTGGAATAATGTTACATTACGGAATAAATCAACAATGCACAACCAGCTCCCAGCACTTTTCAGAATAGTAGGAATAATAGCTACACGTGTTTAGAAATTCAGAATTTATAGTGAAGCGGATATCGTTGAACTTTTGATATTTTCGAGGGGCTGGACCTGTCACTCTAGCACTTTACTGTACAAATGTGCTCCCTATAGCTTTATATATAGTCTACACATTATCAATTTAGTTTGACAATAAAATGTGGATTAATATATTTTAGAATATTTCTCTCTTTTGGTCCAACTACGCGTGTTTCATATTTATTTTTATTTTTACAAGCTACGATAAAAGCTTGATCCACGCCTCAAGTACAGAGAAACTGCGTGTCAAACTAAGAAATGACGTCATCTCAGTAAGTACAGCGAGATCAAGCTGGCTTTCATTCTACATACGCTAAGTGCTTTTATGGCAAGATAAGTTGCACATCCATTTATCTTTATAATATTTACGATAAACGAAACTATTTAGTGTGTTTTAAAAAGAACATATAGTATTTATTCATCGAGATTCATTTGTATTGTTTTAACGTGACGTCATAATAGCTTTACCGAACCTCTGCATAGGCTGACGTATATATGGGAGTCCTTAACCTAGCTGCGTTATGAGAAATGTATAATTCATAATTAAGCGAGAATTCTTTTTAAACTTACCATGGAAGGTGTAGATCTTCCTTTTAACACCCAATCATATCTATGCACTATATTACTATGATTTAACTATGCTACAACAAAAAGTGGGGAAAGGGCAAGTATGCAGCCTTCACCGAACATTTAAAATATTTAACAAAATTTTCACTCTCTGATACTATAACACAGTGTTATAGCACTGTGGATAGCACAAATTGATAGCACAAATTGAACGGTTGCTTTCTCAATGGCTCCGCCTTCACTAACTGCTAACGGTCGCACCATCTAACATATTTCTACATGCATGGGCATGTTTCGCCAAAAAAAAAAAAAGGAACAACCTTCCAACGCCTATCAGGTCCTGGGGGTAAAATATTGAATATAAATTTCCCCTTTTTTTTTTACAGGATTAGCATTATAAAATAAAATCGACGATCTGAAGTGGGCCAAAGTTTCACGTTACACTACATGGTTGTTACTTTTCTACTACGAACTACATGTACATGTACTACTATATGCATTACTTCACGCATGAATTACGTGTCTAAAACTAAGCAGGTTGTTGTAAGCCTAATTAATAATAAAAATCTAACTATAGATGTACTTACCGCATGACTGTCACCTCGGAGCCGCCATTACCCGCAATAAGTTGGTTTTCCGCTCCTTGTTAGCTTTTGAAAGTTTACGATGTTAAGGGGACCAGTTTAAACCCCGCTGCATTCCGAATGAACATTTCCCAGCATCCCCAAACATTCGTTTTACGGTGGAGTGAGAACACAGAATGTGGGTTATTTTTACCGACTTATGGGGATTTTTTTGAAAATGAAAACAAATCGATTAAATTTTATCAGTAGACTACGTAGAATCCAAAAATACCCATGACCATATTTGTGGGGAACGAGAGATTTCCCCACAATTCTCAACTTTCCCCGTAAGAAAGGTCCTTTGTCAGGTGTGAGTTCCCCACAAGTCGGTAAACGCGGGTGCTCTCTCTCTCTCTCATAATTCTGCATATACACAATTCTGTTATAGAAAAAATAATGGGCATTTTATTAAGAAATAAACAACAATGTTAAAAAGTTCTCTGGGAAATGAACTTGGTTGGTCACGTGATCAAATTCTTGTGAAGCCATATGGCTTCTCAGAAGATTTGATCACGTACCAACCAAGTTCATTTCCCAGTGAACTTTTTAACATTGTTGGTTATTATTTTTATTTACATTTGAAACAAATACTCTGAATATTCTGAAACTGCATTTATTACACGAACGACCCGCTATATTGCTATGTTGTGACTCGCAATGACCTAGAAGTGTTTGGTCTTGAGAGGTCGCCTCGCTCCAACATTTGAATACTCACATTGATGTTCAGCAGTCCAGTTCAGGAAATATCTGTTCATAATGAAAAAACCATGATCACTACTGAGAATAATCTTACTATTATTGTATGAGTTCTTAATATATGAAGTCAAAGTGGTTGTATCGTCTTCAGTTTACATACCTTCAAAGGAATTTCGGGTTAAAAAGGTAAGCGTGATTTTAGGCTAATTAAAAACATTCTTCACACCGAAGAAAGAACTAATGATCATTTTATTGAACGAAAATAAACATATATAATTCAATAATTTTATCTTTTTCACTGCTTTAACGGCTTAGAAGTTCCGAAACCAGTGTCACCGTGACAGTAATATGTAGACAAGATATCATCTCGCTGTATGAGTCGGTCACGCCATGACCTCTGACCCCCTAATAAGTTCATACAGAATTGAACATATTTTCTCTTCAATAGGTTCAACTAAGAAAAATATTTGCAAACGTAAATAATATAGAATGAATCGTGTTGAAAAAATCAAATAATAAAAAAAAAGATACCTATATTTAAAATAATATTTTTAGCATAAAATTATAATAACGAAAATAATGAAAAAAACTCTTTTGGTAAATATATGCAGGGCTAAAGTTTTTTATAAATGTGTTAAGTTGAAGAATTTTCTTCATAATATCCTTCCACAACAATAAATCAAATCTCCTTTTCTTGTTTCTCTATGATTCTGTGAGCAGCTTTTAAATGAAATATTTTATAATAATCGCATTGTTTAACTTAAACACATTATAATAATCAAATTGTAAGAAGCAGTTTTGAGGCTAGAGGTTCTGACCAAATATTTCTTAAAAACCGACGAATGACATACAGTTAACGGCGAATAGGAAGTATTTTATCACTGCATTCAAGCCTACAGCTGTATCCCTGTAATATTTTACAAGTTTTTAAAATTTGTTTCATATAATTATGTTTAGATTTTTATTTTTTTTTTTGTTTTGACAGGTATTGCAGTCGTTATAATTAACAAAACATTTTCTGGGACAGGATTTAGTAACAGACCTGGTTCCGAAAAAGACTTAGGTAAATTAAATTTTAGTAAAAATATATATTTTTTTCTGATAAATATTTTCTTTCAAAAGAAAATAAAAAATAAAAATTGAATAAACATTATGATGAAGTGCTTTAAATTTTCTTTTAAATTCTTGTTTTAGAAAGGATTAAAATTAGTTTCCGAAAACTGGATTTGAAAGTTTTAGTTTTCGAGGATCTGAAACACTGTGACATGATTGCAAAACTAGAAAATATCTCAAAGAAATATCACTTCCAGTATGACTTATTCATGTGTTGCATAATGTCTCATGGAGATTTATTTGAAGTGTTCGGCGTAGATGGAAAATCAGTGGAAATTCGGACTTTAACAGATATGTTTGGACCTAAACAATGTCCATCCCTGAGAGAAAAGCCAAAGGTTTTTATAATACAAGCATGTCAAGGTCCAAACTTTCAACATGGTACAGTATATAATAATATTTTTTTTAAATATTTTTTTCCTCTAATTTTTGTTCCTTTGCTTGCTTGTTTTTAGATGTAGTGAAAAATGGAAGATGCAATATTATTATCATTTTAAGCTACATGTATAGTATTTTTAACATTAATGTGAAAAGATTTATTTAAGTGCACACATATACATTTATATTTTTATAATCTTATATATATATATATATATATATATATATATATATATATATATATATATATATATATATATATATATATATATATATATATATATATACATACTGCTTTTGACACACTTTGCAGCTGATGAGATATATGCAGTTATCTGTTCGACAGAACAAGTTCACATATATTCTTTAGCTGCGGCCTGTTACCAGGCTGTTAAAACTGTCCGTGTCAGAGCTATGCTTAAAGAGTACATCTTCTGTCAGAACAAGTTTTAAAACCCGCTAGGTAAAGGGCGTCTAATCTGGTTCTTACTACTATATCCTTCAACTTCCTCTCGCGCCTATAGGCAGCTAATGGAGGTTCCCTAAAAACCTCAGCCATTCTTTTGCTGAAAAAAAAAAGAATTTGGGAGGTTCTTTTTAAGAATGTCGTTGAATTTCTTAAGTACAGGATGGTATGTGGTTACCAGTGGAACCCTGCTGCTACTGCTTTTCTCTTTGTATTGTAAAATGTTTTGTCTGACGTGTCATGCCATCTCATCAATAGCGGTTTGTACGGTATGGGCTTTGTATCCTCTCTTGCATAAACGGGACTTTAGGAGATTGCTCTCTTCCTGGTAGGAAGCAGAGGATGACTGATGTGGCATATTCTGGTGTCTAGACTCTTAGGTACACCTTTGAATGTTTGTGCGGTATGACAGCTTGTCGGCATGAGTTACAGATGGGAATGAGAGTCGTTTGTGTGTAGACTGAACTCAATTTTACCATCAATCAGGGTAGATAAAGTATCCAGCTGAAATTAGTTTGGAAATGAGAAAGCACAAATGTTAATTAATATTTTATAACAAGTAAAAATTTCTTTGATATCATTTCAAATATGGTTGAATCAGTCATGAATGAAAGACTTAACCCCTTGTTTATATTTTTCAAAACACAAACATATGTCAAAGGAGGAAATATTTGTAAAAATACGTTGTTTTTAAAATACTATCCAATTCATTATATAGGTAGTGTCATTCAGGTTGACAGAGCTAGGCGTCTGAATATAGCAACAATGAGAGAAATGATTCCTGAAAGTGCAGATTTTCTTCTTGGAGTTTCGACGATTCCAGGATATCTTTCCTTACGAAACACTTCTAAAGGAAGTTGGTATATTCAATCTCTTTGTGATATTCTCGATAAACATGGATGTAGGTAAGCGTTTACCCTCGTAAAAGGATTGTTGTTTTTAAATGTTTCCCGAAGACGATAAAATATATTATCGAGACTTATTTTTATTATTTATTTTTTTTTTTTGGGGGGGGGGGGGGTATTACAGTTATTCTGCGACATAAGTGTAGTTGTTCTAAGAAACTGCCATCCTTAACTGTTAATATTTTAATGATGCTTTTGCTGTGAATTTTATTATGAGTTTATTATTTGTTTTTCTATTGTAGATTAGGCATACATGAAATTTTGCTTGAGGTCAACAGACAAGTGTCCAAAATGGTTAAAATAGAAGGAGAAGAGAGGTATATGCAAATGCCCGCACCAGTTACTACTCTTCGGGGTGACTTCATAATGAACCCAAATCCACGTTTGAACAACCCATTTTTTTAAACAGAAAAATAACTAGAAAATATCAAGGAATAGCAACTGATAGACCCCACAGTATATGTTAATATTAATGCCTCAGGTATTACGTATAATATGACGATGTTTGAATATTTACACACAAATTTTGCATTATTATACGCATACTATTAAAATAGATTAGTACAACCTGTATCCTTACATCTACTACCATTTGGTGCAAACAATAGTCCTTGTACAAAAAAAAGTTTCATAGATGATGTGAACCAACAAAATGTTATGAATCAAATATACATGCATGTTCAATGTACTAGTATTTTATTATTTTTCTTGTTGTATATGGGTGAATTAAAAAAAATGACCACCAAACTGAATTTTTTTGGCAAAATTCAACTACTTGTAACATATTTTTCACTTATATCATCATATTGCAAATGCATTCTAGTTTAAAATCCAGAAGTTTCAATAGAATAGACAATTGGATTAAAAAGTTTCAAAATTTTTATTAGAAAAATTTCTTTTGAAAAAAGAAAATATCATTACAGCTTAAAAGACTTTCTAAAATACATAATCACAAGAAATTATAGTTTTTTATGCTTCAGAATGGTAAAAGGGGTATAAATGATTAAATCTAGACCTTGAATGAGTATCTTCTCTTGTACATGTGACAAAAAATTGGCTTTTTGATTGTTATTTTACATTATTTTTTCAATTCTGGTTTGAAAAGTTTTAATATGAAAAAGATATGAAGCAATAAAATTCCCCAAAATTCACTTTTTTGTCCGTTCAAGTCAATTCTTTAAATCTAAGCTAAAAAAGAATTGTTTTATAGGAGTTCTCTTACAAAAAATACTAGATTTTGAAGTGACCCTATGTTACATTATTGTGTTGCACTCCTGACATCTGATATGTATTTTATTTAACATTGTTTTTAAAATTATAACACACGATAACCCATTCTTACTTTGTAAATCAATTTGCCGTGTTGATATTTTTCATCGTTTACAGCAGGTTTTTCATATTTTGAAGACCTTAAAACATGATTATTTGCAAAGTGTAATATATATAAAATGTATTTAAAATATATGTGAAATGATGAAAACTATTCCCTGAATTGACTGTAAAATTTCTGTAATTTGTTGATAGACATAGTGTTTTGAACATCAGATAGTATCAAGCATTTTTTTTCAACTTATTTTTTAGTAAAGATAGATAAAAAGCATCGGTAATTATGAAGCAGTTTTGTTGCACTCCTGACTGCAGTAAAGTTTAAAATTAAAACTATATAACACAAAAATTCATAAAGTGTTGGCAACATCAAGTGGTAATGAAATTGTGCAATACTTATAGTCCAATACTTCATAATTAAAACAGATGAAAGTATTTAAAATTTGCATTTTATCTGGAATTATACCCTATTTTATGCCCAAAAACTAGCTTAAATGTATATTTAGAAGATAAAATATATTTTAAAGCATATTTTCCTTTAGAAGACAAACACAGTAACCCACCAGAGAAATTCTACTCATCATTTTTTCTTTATTTTTATTCTTAGTGGATGATTTATAATTCTAACATATTTGTTGCACTCCTGACCAAAAGCATTGGGGCCTTTAAAGTAGAATTGTGAAGTGAAAATTACATAAGAACTTGTTCTGTTGTTTCAGTGAAGTTGAGGAGGAATTACTTGAATTTTATGACAATGTTTTAGTGTGTTTATTTTTAACGTTCATTAAAAAAAATCACAAAAAGATAAAAAAAACATCTGAATTGATAAAATTGAAAAAGGAAGGATTTTAATAATAAAACTGTCAATAATTTAGCATTAAATTATACAAAAAGATCATTATTAATTAATGAATACTTCTAAGCATGAATAGAAGTCTTTTCGTCACACAACTTGAATCTTTTAAAAATGTGTTGCACTCCTGACCATAGAAATATGGATATGAAGCACAGACAGATCCTGTAATTGATAAATCTATTTGGTGAAAATGTTCTTTGTGTCTTTATTTTCCAAAATAAAATTCAGAAAATCATATAATGATAATAGTTTTTTCTTGCTTGGGAGCAAAACATCAAATGTTGCACTCCTGACATTTTGGGGTATGCACATATACTTGACTCTCATTAATGGTGCTTGTGATTTATATAACATTTTTAAGGTTTAAAATGTATATCAGTTATTATTTTACACTTCCGAAATTCTTTTTTGTCTTAATTTTCTATCAGAATTTAACAATTGATGTTTTTTCGGCAACACTACATTTTTTCTGTTGCACTCCTGACATGGTATAACATTTTTTTAAACATCAGCCATGACCACAACCTGATTAAACAAAAGTTATGACAGTCCACGTTTAAAGCTCAATACTTTGAATATTATCAGGAAAGTCTTTATTTTCAACATGAAGCATTATTTTTTATTTCACAGATCTCCAAAAAATATTGAATTTTCAAAATGTCACAAAAAGGTGTTGCACTCCTGACAATTTTAGCATCATTTTTGGGCATAACTTTTTTGTTGATTGAGATATCGACATGATATTTGGCAGGTATTTAGACACTATCTAAAGACATATGCTGAGACATAGAAATCTATTTTCATTGCCTGTATTTTTAGTGTGGGTTGATAAATATGCATTTGGTCATTTTTTTGAATTCACCCATATCCAACTTCGTACTTTTTTCCCCTCATTTTTCTTTTTATAAAACTCCATTCTAAAGCCATTCGAACATTTTTACCTGCGTTATTCTAATTTATTGTGTGTAATTTAACTGCACCCATTGCGTGGGTATATTAAGGCAGCACATAGATCATTGTTTGGGAAATTCACACTTTTTGTAAAAATAAAACATTGCCAAATCAGAAAAAAATACAGATAAAATATTTACTATTTATTACCAATTTTTTAGACGTCAATGAGTCTTAAGCAAAAAGAAACACTCTACTACGACGTCATCATGCGACGTCTATAAATAGAAACATGCCTTAACAAAAAGTGAAAAGATTTACACTACCCGGGGATGACATTTAAATTTCTGTTTGTTACACCCGTAACAAATACTGCGTGTTTTATACCATGCAAAAATGTCATTGTATAGTTTATATTACGTTTTACATGTTTAATTATATCTAAGAATTGAATAAATATTTAAGAAATCGTTATCTCTTAAGCTCACGACAAGTAGCTTACTATGACGTCATATTGTATGGGCTAGTCAGAATATCTGGGTGTAGCCTTAACATACCCGCTCGTACCCTGTAAACATGCTTAATATTATTTATAACTTAATTTTATCTTTTACTTATGAAGAGGGTTTATATAAGTAAAACCTGCTTACTTATCCATTTATGTTATTACATAATACAGTAATTTCAAATCATGTAGTAGTCTATGTAATATGAATATTATGCATATAATAAAAAGTTTCAAAACATCCTAGCTGTCTTGGTCTTCATTGGATCTCTTGATATGGAAATAAACATGGCATCAGCCATGTTCTTTTAAAGCAATGTTTAAAATAAAATCTTTAGTCGTTTCTTCTAAACGTCGAATGGAATCTTACAGAAGTGATAGTATAAAACAAAAACATTGATGCAAGCATTGAACGTTGCGTACAGCATATAATTGCATTTACATTCAATTTCCTACAATTCCTAGGGACTTGTATTATCCATATTGAAAACAAATTACGGGACAATAAATGAAAATATGAATCTACATGTTTGAAATTGAAATTAAATATTTAAAGATTACATGCAGTAGGGTTTTTTCTTTTAAATAATGAAGATTACAATAGAATAAATCTATAAACTATTAACGAAGGCGTAATTGCATTTAAAAAATGGCTATTTTTTTCGTTTTGAAATTCTAATCACAGCAGAATCGCTACGATCAAAAGCGATGTTCTCCTGGCTTGACGGCACAACATACACCTCAATAACGATCAGTGTTTCTGACATTGAAATATGTGGAGATAACGAACAGTATTCGAGCTCGAAAGTCCATTAAACATTACCAAATAGGAGCAGACATGGACCTCTAAGACATCAGAGGTGGGATCAGGTGCCATGGAGGAATGAGCATTCCCTGCCGACCGGTCACACCTGCCGTGTGCTCCTTGTCATGATCGGGAAATAACGGAAAAATCCGTCGAAAATTCAGTGTGTAAATAATGGCCTAACAATTAGTATGAAAAAAGTTAGTCAGCATCATTTGACTTAATGATAGATTTTATTTGCTGACAAGGTCATTGTATCGTCCATAGAACTTACGAAATAATGACTTAAAACGAGACTGCTGATACTCTTGTTTCATCAACTTGTTTGTCAATAACTTACCTCGTTTTGTAAAATTGTTCATACATAGAGCATGCGTATCAAATCAACTGAGAGAAATGAACCCCATATGCAGATGATAAGGGTATATTGCTGCATAAGTAAGGGAAGTTGACGATTGAAAAGTTAAAGTCATCACGTTTATCATAAAGCTTTGTTGTTAAATTACCATTAACGTCTTTTTTCTTATAAAATATCCAAGTATGAAACAGATGTGTCAGACTTTGTGGTATCTTTTATCTTAAGCTCTCCGGGATAACCATTGTTAATTGACAATACGTCGTTGACATATCTAAATGTCGAGGTGAAGGCCACATCAAGTGTTTTCTTCTTTTCACGTAAAGGATTTTGAACAAATCTTGCTTCATAGGAATACAAAAATAGGTCTGCTAATAACGGGGCGCATTTGGTACCCGTGGAATTCTAATAGATTGTTGGAAGACCTTGTCTCAAAAAAAAAAAAAAAAAAAAAAAAATAGATATTGTCAATCAGAAACTGGAGCTTTTTTTTTTTTAATTTCAACTTCAGAGTACTTGTGTGTACAATCAGATTGTTTTTAACAAATAAATTTTGCAAATGACCAATGTCAAGGTAATTAGATTTACGAGTCCCATTTTTATTGAAAAAAAAAAACAGCTGTCAACGATGGCAGAAAGTCTAGACCTAAATTAATCGTGAGGAATA